AACTTTTAGAAAAACTCGAATTACATTTAGTGCTGACTACTAAACATATTAGCTGTTTCAAGACAGACATTTCTATATGTTATGTAAGAGATCCGTAACAACAGCAGCATCACTCTGGAAGTAGACAAGTAGAGTCTGTTTTGCCCATTTTATGAACAAAATAATGTTCATTATAAAAAGCTTAAAATAATGTTTTATCATATTCCCTCAGTGCAAAAGCCAAAAGTCTTTGGTAGGCAGCAGGAGGAGAAACTCGTTTAGAGAGACTTCCATGCTCTAGTTCAGTGACTTTTCTGTGAGTTTCTTTGTTGCCTGTAATATACTGATGGTTTTTATGCATCACCGCGCTCATAGCTTTGCGCAATTCACCTGCACCAATCACATGTCCATCTTGACTCTCAGCAGCAACGGTCCGGCACAAATCAAGTTTCTACGTTCAGTTTAAGTACCCTCCTCCCAAAATGTGGCCCCTGGAAAGGGAAATACATGTGCAAAAATACCTGCACCTCATCACACCTCCCTAGTAAAGTCCAACAACCGCCAAAGAAGGAATTGCAGATCCAAAATCTGGATGTGTGATTAAAAAAAAAAGACATTAGGTGTCTTTTAAAAACAAAAAAAGGTTGATGGATGATTATTAGCCCATTACAGTTCAATTCAATTCTTAACTCTTTCTTCTTGTCCCCTCTCGGTAAGCAGTCGGGCAGGATCACTCAGACCTGGTGGCCGATCTTTTGAAGGAGCTGTCCAATCACAACGAGCGCTCAGAGGAGCGTAAAGGCGCCCTGGTGGAGCTGCTGAAGATCACACGGGAAGACAGCATGGCTGTGTGGGACGAACATTTCAAAACCATCCTCCTCCTCCTGCTGGAGACCCTGGGTGATAAAGATGTACGTAACCTGATAGTTTGTGTACACGTAAACCCCATTTTTTTTGTCTCCTTTATTTGTGTTTTCATTGTCTTGATTCAGCGTAATCTGAAGAAACTGAAGGGAGTTTTGTGTGGATGATATTCTTTATGTTCCCATTTCCTGCAGCACACCATTCGAGCTCTGGCTCTGCGAGTGCTGAAGGAAATTCTGAGGAATCAGCCTGCCCGCTTTAAAAACTATGCCGAGCTGACCATCATGAAGACGCTGGAGGCGCACAAAGACTCTCACAAGGAGGTGCGCAGCTCCCACCACTCAGCTAAAAGCACCGAAGGCACCGAGCATGATTTTTGTTTCATAAAGTCGTCATCGATATCTGTTAATGTGGCCGCGCCGTGTTGAAAGTGATGCGGTTCTCATGTCTTTAATTACTGAGTAGCGTGTTCACTTAAACATGAAGTTAGTTTATATAATTGCTAAGTAGCACATGTGAGAAAGACGAATGCCATTCAAGATACATAAACAAAAAGCCTGCAGTCAATGAGATTAATGATTATTGGTTTCTAATCATTTCTAATCCCTCTTGTGGCTCACAATAACCTCATAATTAATACTTTACAGAGTGGTTATCGATATGAGCACTGAAATAAGTGAAGACAGTAAGTCCAACCTTCGACCCTTCACTCCAGCAGTTATTCAGGATTACTTGTAGAGAAATTTTCCATTCATGTCGGTCAGGTGTGCAGCTGGGGTACAGAGTGTGTGTAAACACAGATCACGTGTTGATAGCAAATTGAACATAAAATACACAAAAATGCACTCGACCAACCTGAGATGAAACATGCAGATAACCAAAAAAAACATATCAATCACAGAAATTTAGCATGAGGAATTTTTTTAAAAAGTTTTTCAGCATGAATGAATAATATCCTACTGAAGAAGAGTAAAGTATGCTGAAGTAAAGCACTCTTTAAAGGGGTTCATAAAGGGGTTTTTATTCTTTATCTTTAAACTTTCCCTTTTTTTTTTTGCTTTTTCTGTATTCAGTTTTTTAATAATTGCGTTAATCTAAACGTGTGTCATTTCGCAGCCAACAAATTATCACAAAATCTGTGAAACATGCAAAATTCAGTACTGTCCCACACTGTACTTACCACACACCGGAAGACCATAAAAAGATGTTTTTAATCGTAGACGAGTCATTTAAAAAAAGCTTTATAAAAGCCTAAAATACAGGCATAAAGGTGAGGATATATTGTGGAAAAAATATCTGAGTTTAAAGCAAGAGCCATGATAGGTTCAAGTATAAAATCAGGACTGAAAGTGCAACAGTAAGAATACATTAGAATAAGTTTAAAATGTAAACGTTTTCTGGGGAAGTTCTCAGATCGAAATCGGCCTGTAAACATGACAATTTGTCAGCCACCAAAAAGGAGCGTTCAGTCTTTTTTGTTTTTCCCATCATGCTCCTGGTGGAAATTTACAAGAAGATAAAGTGTTGAGTGGTGGAGGAGGAACGCAGCTGCCTCGTTTCTCTGTTTGTTCTAGAAAAGTAAGTCAAAAGAAAAAAAGGGAGACACTGACTGACAGAACGGAGCTCCTGTTGGTTGTTGCAAACATTTATGGGATTGAAGTTCTCTACTTGAGCACAAAATGCTAAACTGGACAGTGAAATTTAATATGTCTGAATTTGGGGGGAAAAAGAGACTTTGGCTTTGTCTGACTTAGTCTCATGCCTGTGATACAGAAATCCTGCTGTTGCCTCAATAACACACCAGCTGATTGGATTTACGATGTGTGATATAAAATTGTTACCAGCCTAATCTGTTAAAAATAAAAAACATGTTTTTAGGTTGTGCGTGCAGCCGAGGAGGCGGCGGCGACGCTGGCCGGCTCCATTCACCCGGAGCAGTGCATCAAGGTGCTGTGCCCCATAGTGCAGACGGCCGACTACCCCATCAACCTGGCAGCCATCAAGATGCAAACCAAAGTAATTGAACGCATCGCCAAGGAATCATTGCTGCAGCTGCTGCCCGACATCATCCCCGGACTCCTGCAGGTCTGAGCCCAAAACAGAAGTGCAGATTTGAATGGAATGTGATTGTTTTTGTTTTGCAGGCTGAAAACTGATCAAACCTCCAAAACTGTGAAATAAAAACTCACGTTTCAGAAACTTGAATAAACAGAGTTTTTCGTTTTAAATGTGTTGCTGGTGTACCCAGCTTGAATAACACAGACAGAGCAGAAACATCCGTGTCAGTGCCACAGAGGCTTATTTGGACAATGTTCATATTTGGACAGTGGGAATTATTTGCCTTATTTGTCCCTGGAAATGTTTGCGTGTACTCTGCACTCTTGGCGACCCCTCCCATGTTCCTGCTGACCTCGTATGGGTGTGTGTGTATGTGTGTGTGTGGGTGTGTGTGCGTGTACGCACCTTTGATACCTGATGCTCCCCGGTCTCTCCGCAGGGCTATGACAACACAGAGAGCAGCGTTCGCAAGGCCAGTGTGTTCTGTCTGGTGGCTATCTACTCTGTGATTGGTGAGGAGCTCAAACCCCACCTGGCACAGCTTACGGGAAGCAAGGTACTGACCGTCGCCAGCAAGTCTTTCCACTTGCATGTCCCCACAACGAAAGCACTTGAACAGACGCGGAGCCTTATCATCTTCCCATGTTGTTATTTCTCAGCTGGCTCTCAAATTATAAAGCACAGGGTCATATTTGCCCTTCTAAAGTGTCCTTGAGTTATGTAATGGTTAAGGTCTGAGGGTCAGGTTCACCTGACTGCAACCCCCCCACCTCCACCTCTCCCCTTTACTAACCACCACCTGGTCAGCTGGTTATCTAAACGGAGTCACCGCTGCAGTCTTCAGCTGCACTCTAAGATATCATCTTAGTGCTAAAATAACTTTGAGTGGATGCAGTTAATCATTAATAACAATCCGTCCTCTTATCAGCAGCTACATTTTAGGGAATCTTTTAAAAAAAGTGCATGTGCCAATATTTTGTGTATGATTACTTTTGAGTTCTTTATCCTGTTTAAAGCAAATTGTCCCTGTGATGAGATTCTCCTGCGAGTTTGTGGCTCTCCTACTACAGCATATTTTTGTATTTCCCTCTATAGTTCAGTAAAGATGTGGACTGACAGCCAATAGAATAACTTTTGGGGGGATTTTTGTTTTTATTTGTTTGTTTTCCCCCGAAGGGTATCCCTAGGAAGCCGGTCACCAGCACAAACAGTCCAGGCCAGTTCAGTCCAGGGACTTCAACTAGCTGCAGCTAGCAGCTCCAGCCACCTGTGTCACTATCCACTTGTCAGTCAGGGGGGCCACAGCCCTAATTTTAAGTCTCGCTACCATACAATGGAGTGAGTTATAATTGCACTGACCACCTGTAGAGTTGTTTTGAAGTGGTAAACTACATAAAGACATTCTTGAAGCAGGCTGTACACTTGTTTATTTCTGCTGGAGCGTTTAGTGAGTATTAGAGGAACTGCAGGTGTTTGAGCTTTTCATGTTTCAGCCTCACTCTACCTCTGCTCGGTTTAATTGCATGACGAGATGTCATGAGTGCTTTCATCACTTTAAAGAAACCAGCCAAATATTGTGTACGTTTAGCTTCCTATCACCCTATCTGACTCATGAAGAAGTTTATTCCTCTTTAAGACAGTCCTGTGCTGATATAAAGAGTAATTTCTCAATTCTTTCCTTTTGCAGATGAAGTTACTGAACCTGTACATCAAGCGTGCTCAGACGACAAACAGCAATAGCAGCAGCTCCTCAGATGTCTCCTCTCACAGTTAATGGAGGTGGTTTCATCCATTCCAAGACTCCAGATCAGACTTCTCTGTCTCTGAGCATCAGCCTCCTCATCACGGCTCTGCAGCTCATCCTCTCGACCCATTTTGTTCCTTCGTGTCATCCGCCTCTGCTCTGGAAATATCTGAACGGGACTGCTGTCCTGGTTTCAAGATGGTGGGGAAGGATTGGACACATTTGGATTTTTGGATTTAGGATATGGCGCTTTCTCCTCCTCCTGTGGGTCCCACCATCTCCACATCAGCTCCAATCTGTTTCTCCTTCATCCCTTCTGCTTTTAGATTTGTTTCTATAAGTGTAAAATATTCACATCAAAGAAATGTTTCAGATCATCTTCAGTTTGGGATGAAATGTCATTTGGCTGGCCCAGTGATGGCAACAAGCCCATGAAGTGTGCAGTGGATTCTGTTTTAAGGGCATGAAGACCAAATATTGCAAGGCGGCAAAAAAATTAGATATGGACAGAAAGACAAAACGAGGAAGTCCTATGTGAGCATTTTAGTTCAAGGCTCATATTTGATTGTAATTTCTTTTCTTTTTTTTTATGTGCTCGTTTCTCTTTAGGAGTGGCTTAAAACCCAAACTGTCACGATTACAAAACAGATCTCATGTCTAAACAGAACTGACAATCCTTCACATTTCGTGCAGATCTTTTAACAGAGAACACAAACCACCGTCGCTACATGGAGTGGAAGCTAAGCCTGTTAAAAGCCGTAACGTTTGTGTCGTTTTTAACTTCCTGCTTCCGTTTGTGTCTGAGCGCTTACTCTGTCTTACAGGAAGTCCTTTGTAAATACAGCAGATGAGGAGTTGGGGGAGAACAGGCCTTACATTTGTGGACTGCGGAGAGTGAACGGGATGTACGGCGCCGTCACTCTCGGCTCTTTAAAAAAAAGAAAGAAAGAAAAACAAACAAAAAAATGTGAATCTGCAGCAGAAGCGTCCCCAGCGGGCCGCGTCGCTCTCAGACTTGTGACCGTGCAAACACAGTATTACTCGTTTCCTCTTTCACAGCTTCTGCAATAACCACAAAGAAATCAAAGGTGTTTTGTACATACACTTTCTGACCGCTGCTTCACGGAAAAGCAGACTTTTAATTTTTTGGGCTTGCATGAACCTGCGGCACGCGTCAACTCAGTGCCGCGCGGAGAGCCCGGAGCTTCTTCGGCTGTTAAAGTGCACTTTTAACATCATGAGATCACTCGACTCTGAGGAGGCGCTCGTACGGAAAAGGTACACACTCTGTGTTTAATTTATTCTGCTGTAAAGTTTTAAGTGGTGGATTCCTGCTGTGAAGCACTTCATCTATTCCCTGATTGGGAAGAAGTTTCTCAGTCTGATCAGCTTTTAATTATTGGACCTGATTTGGTTTTCATGGTCAGTTGATCTGCTGTAGTTTTTTCTTTATAATACTCTGAATAATGAATAATAATGCTGATTCCTGATTTGCTCAAATCCGCTGAGAACAGTCCAACTCTGCTTCTTTAAGGAAATGAATGTACAGAAACAACACAGTGAATTTGCTGGTACTCAAAAGGATTTAACTTTTTCTTTCTCATCGTCCTTCAGCGCGCTCATGTAATCAGCTGAGTTTTTACCGCAAAAGCAAACCTGCAAACTGGTGAAAACCCACCAATCTTCTCGCATCTGTCGTCTCGTCGCTGGATCTAAAACAGACGCGACGGCGTTCCTTACAGACTGTTCACTATGCATGTTCAGCAGTCTTTCTTTGGCTTCACGCGCTCATGTAATATTCACACCTGTATTTATATATTTTATTTGATCTTATTGTATTTAGTTCTGTCATGATGAACTGTACAGAAGGTTTTTTGTTTAGTTTTTTTATGTTAACATCAATGTGTGATCAGTTTGCAGCGATGTAAAAAACTGTTTGCTGTAGAAATAAAAAGACCGAGAACTGATCTCAGCTCTTTCTGGCCTTTCACTCCACATTTCACAATCCCCCCCCCTCTTCCTTCATCTTGTGTAACGTTCAGAGAGTGGATCAAAGCTCGGACGGCGTCGTCTTTGTTTCCCTCGCAGGTTGGACCTGCATCCGAGCGCTGAGGTGTGCTTAGCGGCTCTGGATAAACATTAACCCGGGCAGACTTTGAGATGACCTGCTCTTAATCTGTCACTCCCTTAAGGAGCTATGAGGGGTGAGCTGCAGGGGTTTCTACTCAACCTGCTGAAACTAAACCTGCAATAAAGATTAATGTGCCTTTTTCAAATTTAAATATCATCATTTAAGCTGCTGTGTTGGCTTTTAGAAATATCAGAGATGATAAATATGCTTACTGACATTCATTTGAGGGCTTTTCCTGTGTTTGTTTCCTGAAAAGTCCCCTCTAAACATCCTCACCCACAGTAAGTGTTTTGTTGGAAGTGTCAACAACTGATCAACTGAAGCTGCTATTAATGCATCACCCGAGGTGGACATTGGTAGTGGGAGGTGTGCCGGCGCTCTCCGCCTCTCAAAGGTCATCCAAGGTATGCTAATGGCAGGCCTGATGACATCACTGGAGCCATATAAGGGGTGTGTGGCAAGGCTGGGCTGCAAACCTCTCTGAGCTGAAATCCGAGGAAGCCAGCAGGCACAACGCTCGCGCCCTCTGCCTCCACGCCTTCTCTGTGGTCCTGGAATACAAGACAACGCCGCCACACTGGAAAATATGCTGTTCTGCCATCCCCAGCCTGAGTCCTACCACCAGCACTCTGCTAGTTACATTAGGTAAAGCACTGCCATGTTGCCAAGCTCCAGAAATGTCAAGATTTCACACACAGGAGCAGCAATTTACCAGCTCCACAGGTGCTCGTGTGGCTTTGGTAAATGTGCTGATTCACAGTGATTGAGGAGCACATTTCAGTAATGTGTTATTGACATGAAATGAGTTTTAAAAATGCATTTCAGGCATTCGTTCATTCAAAGAATTGCACTCAAAATCCACATTTCAGGTTAGTTCCACTTTATCATGTCAGTTTGTAAAAGTTTCAGTTTGATTTTTAGTTTTGGATATCATGATGTGTGTGTGGTGTTTTTCAAAGTGTACAATTTAAGAAATTCAGAAGGGAACACTAACGGTACAGCAACAAAAACACACGACACAGTCACGCACTTAAAAATCTGATCAACTGACACCAGATCTGAAATTAAAAGTTAGTTTATCTTGTACTTAAGTTTATTTTTTTTTTAAACAAAGAAACATCTTTAATGATGTATTTAACCTGAACCGTGCTGCATGACAACAAACCTTTGGGCTTAAATGACTGAAGATCAGATGTGACAGCTGGCCATGTCCTCGTGGTCTCCTCCAGAGAGGCGTTGGCGCCTTTCTTAAAGAGCGAAGAAGCTCGGCTCATGGCTGAAAATGGTGCCAAAAGAACACCGTTCCAGTACATTCTGTGTGCAGCCACTTCACCGGCTGTGAAGCAGCAGGAGGAAGCGCTCACTTATCTCAACCAAGGTACATAGACTGTTAGTCTCCGTGACGACTGTACAGACCGAAGCTCATTTTGTCACACGCAGTCCCAGCTGAAGCATGGGAGATGCTCAGAGTTCAATCCATTCATTTAAATACACTAAGAGAAAAATTAGGTTTGTTCTCCAACAGAAATCAGCTTGAAGTTTTCTGATGTTTGTCCAGTTCTATGGAAGCAAAACCAAAAGTCAAAATTGTTTAAATATCTTCACTTTGCTAGTTTTGAGTGACTGAAACTTCTGTTTGTAATACACTTTAATTATTTCTGGATTGGACTTCCCTCTTTGAGGGTTTCTCAAAATATGGTCATTGAGGTTTCCATTGACTCACATGTCAAACATGATTGGTTCCAGTTTGGCTCATTTGACAAACTTATGATTATATTTCTTAAATTTAAATATTAGTTACTTTGAATTGGTCACATTTTTTTTTTTTTCGTTCATAGTAACGTAGACTGCAAATGAATTTTGGACTTTTTTAGCTTCCATAGGTTCTGTCTTTAGACCTGGATCTCAGAACATCCTGTTTACAGAGTTGCACTCACACACTCGGTCTCTGTTATTGATGATTAAGATTTGACATGTTTAATATTTGAAGAATTTATTTATTTAAAGAATCAAGTATTCAGATTTATTGATTGATTTGTGCAAGATGAGCTTCTACGTGAGTGTTAATTTGTCTGACTTGGATCATCTAACCTCACTCATCAACCCCTCTCTCTCTCTCTCATGTCTTTTTTGCTGTTTGCATTTCACACTCTGCCCTGCTCTTCCTCTTCTTCGTCCTCTTCTTCGTTTTCTGCCTTCTGGAACCTTCTGATTGTTTCCATCTGTCGTGTTTGTCAGTGACGTTTTTATTATCTGTGCTTTATCTTCCTCTGTGTTTCTACGAGTTTGCCCTGCTTATCTGCTCTACAGTAATTTGTTTGCAGTAAAAACACAATGAAAGTGAGCTTGCTGTTCCACACAGCTTGTGGCCATGCAAAGAGGACATGTATTGATTAGTAAAGTTAATTGCCATCAGGGTTTGTAGCTTAGTTTTAGAAGCACTGACAGTTAGTTTTAGCGTTCCTCATTGGCTGTGTTATTGACATGTTGTTGTGATAATGCATTATGTCTGATCAGGACGACGATACGGAAACGTTTTCCACTGTGTGGCCTTGATATCTACGCCTCTTTTCTGATTGATTGATTGATTTCCTTTTTTAAAAAAATTTTTAATCAGGATGTTTTTAATGTTTTAAAATGTAGGTCAGTCCTACGAAATCCGTATGCTTAACAGAAAACTAGTGGAGTATTCAGATATAAGCAGCAAATATGTGAAGGTAGGTGTAAGGTATTGTGTATGTTTGTCTGTTTTATTTGTCTTTCATGTGACCTCTCCCTCTTTCTCCTCTCGTCTGTTCACTTCCCTGGTTTGTCGCCGGTCCCTCGACCTTCCCTTCCACTTTGGGGGTGCTGTATCGACCCTGAAGAGCTTGGTACTATCACCCAAACTCACCGCTCCTCCTCCTTAAACTTCACATAAGCCCTCTACAGACGTGCAGCTCAGCTTCCTCTCACTTTTCCAGCACACACACACACAC